TTTATACTGAGTATTTACTTTCCTTCTGGGAGTCTGGAATTTTCGTATGTGCTAGGCAGAGGATGCCTATGCGACCAGCCCCCAATAAATACACTGGGCACCATGTCTCTAACTGGCTTCCCTAAGTAGAGATATTCCAGTGTTGCTGCATTTTCATTGCTGGGGGAAGAATAAGCTCTGTGTGATCCCTTATAGGCAGGAGAAAGCATTAGGAAGGCCGCACATGAATTCCTCCAGACTCCAGCTGTGTCTTTTTCCCTTATGATCGCTGTATATCTTACTACGTTGCTATAATGAATCTTAGCCATGAATACGACTACCTGGTGAGTCCCCTGAATTCTAGTGAATTTCTGAACGTAGGAGTGGTCTTGCAGCCCCCCAACACAGCTTGAGGAGTAAATGACACAAAACATGTATTTAGCATAATACTTGGCTCATGGAAATTCTCAAAATGAGGTAGCTAAGAATGGTGATGGTCTTGGTGGGAATGGGGAGCACAGAGCCATGTACAGTATAGGAGCTCAACGTCAAGTATTCCAAGTTCCCACCCATCCCTCCATCCTCTCCACCTATATGCCCTCGTATCTCTTAGCCTCCTAGGAAACGCACAGTCCAATACCCCAGTGCTGGCAAGTACCTCTAGTTCAGCCTCCTGTTTTACCATGTCGAAAGAGCAAGGCCAGAGAGGTGAAATGAACTGTCCCACGTCACGTTATAAGTTAATAACAGAGTTGAGTCAAGAACCCAAGTTTATCCTTGGGTTTATCCTACACTGGCTTCACCGTTACCTGGTATATGTGATACAGGCTAGGAGTAAGCATAGCCCACTTAGGGCCAGGCTGTCAAGAACCCAGTTGCCCTGGAGGATTTTCTTCTCCTCCTGGAAAAAAAAAAGGAATCTGGGAAGCTAGAACGGAAAGGGAGCCCTAAACAAGCCCAGCCCTAAATTAAAGGACTACTATCTGATCTAAAGTAAGGCTGAAATAATTTCTCCCTCGCATCTTCATTTCAATGCCACTGCTGTTGACTGCTGGGGCTGTTGACAGTAGGTGAGAAGCACTGGAGGAGAAGCCAATACCATCCACAGCTGGAAAAAGTGCAAACAAGACGCAGAAGATGGCCGGTGCACCGGGACTAGAGCACCTAGAGAGCCTCAATATAGGAAGCACAGCAGGTAAACAGAACCCTCAGGTCGGTACCCAGCTGGTGGGCCCAAAACTCTGGGCCACTGATAGAATGAGAAATAATGTGACCGGACAGAACCAGCGACCTGCTTGAGCCCTGTTTAGAGGGGAACCCCACCCACTCCCTCGCTCACCAAGGAACGTGCAAATGAGGCAAGCATGAAAGAAACACCAAAAAATGTTGAAGGACAACCGATATGATGCTCCTGCCAGTTTAATGAGATGAGGACTCCCACCGGTGTGGGTGGAAGTGGCGACTTAGCTCAGCATGCGCGTGTTGGGAGCGCCGGCAGCGACAGGGACGGAGGCAGCCTCCTCCGCACGTTCTCTCCCAGCCCCAGACCCACTCGCTTACTGATTGCTCCGCACGAGACTCACACACACTAACTCTGCGCGGAGCTCTACAGACCTATCAATAGACACCGCCTCCTCACCAAGCTACAGCCGCCGCCGCGGGAACTGCGGCGCCGGAAGCGCGTCACCACTTTCCGACTCTCCGGCCTGCGTTCGCTCTAGCATGCCCGGAGGCCGCGCTACGCGTCGTTGGTCTTTCCGGGCGTCCCGGCCTATCACTGTAACCTCGCCCTCACCCTCCCGCCCGCTGGGGTCGAAAGTTGAGGCGTGTCAGGGGATCCTGGGGCTAACTCTGAGTCGCTGGCCCCCGGCCCCTTGGGAGGCCTTCGAGGGCGTCTGTGTGAGCAGACCAGCCTCCTACCAAAGGAAAGCCAATATTCACTGATGGCCCCTCCAGCCGCCCCACAGTGGCCCCCATGGGATGGACGCGGACGCAAGGGCGCCTGGACTGGCTGGCGTGGGAGGGATTCAGAGCAGCGTGATGAGTCAAAGCCGGGCCCACACCCGGCTGGAGATTCTTTTTCTCTCCTCTGAACCCTCCAGCCACATTGGCTCCCAGGGTGAGTGTTCCCCGACCCCGCCATGTGCTGGAGCCGCTAGCACCACCACCATACATACACACAACACAGATAGACCTGGCCTTGGCTTCCAGGCCTCCGCTTAATTCCCACCCGAACTCCTGTCCTCCCTACCCCCACCCTTTCGTGCGCTGCTCCTCTCCATTAAATCATAAACTCTAGGAAGGCAGGGACAATGTCCATCCATTTCATTCACGGCTGTATTCTCAGCTCCTAGCAAAGTTTCTGGTGCTTTGTAGGTGCCCAATAAATATCCGTTGAATGGACAGGTGAGGCTGCTTCAAAGAGAAAGGGGAGGGAGGGAGGAGAGAATGTATGAAAAATGGCCGGGACAAAGTTTATCTCATTGGATTTGGCCCACAGTTTCTGACTGTGGATTCTGAGGCTGAGGAAAGGAGGTGGTGCTGAGTATTTGCTGTGGTTGCTTTGAGAAATCAGGAGGGCTTGCTGGAGGCCGTATGGCTGTTCGAGCTCCCTAGGAGCTCACTCAGAAGGCCATGTGGAAACCCTATGATTGTCTGAGGAGCCCAAATCGCTGTTTGCAGGTCATTGGAAAGTTAAAGAGTAACTTAGGGGGTTTCAGAACTGGTTGAATTGAGTGAACCTGACTTATTGCAACAATGGGTTAGGCTAACTGACTGAAGCCTTGGAATCGATGACACGGCAGCTTTTTCCTTCGTGGCCTGCTGGCAGGGACCTGGCCTGACATCTCACAGAAGGCCCCCAGGCAATGGTCAGCTTACCTCAATGCCCCAAGACAGGACAGCTGTCAGAAAGTCTCTACTGTGCTCTGGGCCTAGTTCCTTATCATAAAACTTCCCCAACCAGTTCTTGTTGCTAGGGAAGAGCGTAGGCAAGCCACCTGGGCTCAGAGAGTCAGCGCTGACTCTTTTGCCTCCTCAGCTGGATTTATTCACACTCTGCCCACAGATTGAGTCTGCATTCCTCCACTGGCTCAGCCTTCTCAAGGCCTAAAGTCCCAACATTGGTGCCTCTTTCCTTCAGATTAAAAAAAAAAACAAAAACCCGTTGCCATCAAGTTGATTCCGACTCCTAGTAACCCTGACCAATAGGTTTCCAAGGAGCAGCTGGTGGATTCCAACTGCCCATCTTTTTGGTTAGCAACTGAGTTCTTAACCACTGCACCACCAGGGCTCCTGAAACCGGACCCATGAGTCCGCACCCAGCGTGCAAGGAGCCAATCTCTCAGACGCTGGTTTTGAGAAGAAGAAAGAGTTAATTTCACAGGCTAGCAAGCAGGAACTCAGAGGTATGGACCTCAGAGGGAGTTCCTCAATTTGAGGAAGCATTTACATTTTATAGGTTTGGGGAACTATTTATAAAGGGGTGGAGGAAGGCAGGTGGGAAGGATCAGGAAGTTCTACATATTCATAGTTTTTATTGATTATTTATTACGGGGCAGGGCTAAGACTTGGCATGGAAGTGGCAGACAGACTCTTCGCTTTTGAAATGGGCTTGGCTACTGCAGATGACTTATGTCCGGTGATTTTGGTTCTTTGACATGAGCCTTTTCGTTCCTTGACCTGAGTTTCCCCATGCTATTGAGCTTGCATGGGGGGTCCGAAGTCCTCTGTCACCCTTGTCTGCTCTGCACATGTCTGATCTCCTGAAGCCAGTTAGATCCAGATCCGTCAGGAATTCTCCAGAGAGTCTGCAAAACAACTTAGAGGATGTGAGTGACGTGGTGGGGAGGTGACTGAGAGTGGCCTGATAACTGGTGGAGTACTAATTAATTAGGTGTTTTTTTAAGGCCCCCTAACACTCCTTTGGAAACCCTGGTGGTGTAGTGGTTAAGCGCTATGGCTGCTAACCAAAAGATCAGCAATTCAAATCCACTAGTCGCTCTTTGGAAACCCTATGGGGCAGTCCTACTCTGTTCTGTAGGGTCGCTGTGAGTCGGAATTGACTCGATGGCAACAGGTTTGGTTTTGGTTTAACACTCCTTTGGATTACTCATTGCAGTTGAGTCTATTCTGACCAACAGTGACCTGAAATTAAGTCTTCACATAATGTTGACTGTGTGTACTCTGTGTATGCACAGCTAGGAGCAAACGCGACTCTGACTTGGCCCTGCCCCTCAGCAAGCAGCTTTGAGAACAGAAGTGAAAACAGACTTGGGAAAGGATGAGGAGGTGGGCACAGGGGAGCCATGGGGCACAGGGGAGGTGGCAGAACGTATGGGAAGGCGCTTTAGGGGAGCTGACATGTACTGAGCCAGGCACTGTTCTAAGTGTTTTGCACGCTTTGTCTCTTTTTACCTCACAACAGCACCTGTGAGGCACTATTACTATCCCCATTTCACAGATGAGGGAACAGAGGCACAGTAAGGTTGAGTATCTTTGCCAGAGTGACCAACTAGGAAAAAGGCTTGAGTTGGCTCTTTTAAAGATGAGGAAAGAGTGGATGTGAAACTTAGTAAGTACTTGATGTGTTTTTGCTGAATGAGCTAGCAAATAAATGAGTAACTGAATGCGTAAGTAAATAAAGGTATGGGTGGTAGGTCATGGGGGAGGGGGCAGGATCAAGGAAGGCTTCGTGGAGAAGGTGCTGGAGCTGAGCCTGAAAAGATCAGAGCAAAGCCTGAAGCTAGTGAGGAGGCTGTGACTAGAGCTTCTCTGGGCTTCTTCCTGGACCCTCCTCCTGCTCCTCTCAAGTAAGCAGGCTCTGGTAAGTGTTAAGCTCAGGAAAACATTTTGCTCCCAGGTACTATCTCTCACTGGGTTATTTACTGTGATTTGAAGCCACAAGGCAAGGTCTAGGTGGACAGACCTTTCCATCTCCAACTTGCCAAGGCCTCCCAAAACTCTACTGGTACGAACAGAGCAATCAGTGTGTCTGGAGCTTAACCTGGGGGAGCACAGCCATGATGCTCTGGGGTCTGGTGCTGGGAGCCCTGCTCGTGGCCATTGTGGGGTACTTGTGCCTGCCAGGGCTGTTCCGACAATGCAAGCCCCAGGAGCCCCCTCTGGACAAGGGCCCTGTGCCCTGCCTGGGCCATGCCATAGCTTTCTGGAAAAATACGTTTGAATTCCTGAAATGCATGTGGGCCAAGCATGGGGATGTGTTCACTGTGCAGCTAAGTGGCCAGTACTTCACCTTTGTCATGGATCCCTTCTCCTTTGGTCCCATCCTCAAGGATGTACAGAAAAAACTGGACTTTGTGGAGTATGCCAACGAACTAGTACTGAAGGTATTTGGATACCAGTCAGTACAGGGAGTACACCAGATGATATGCTCAGCCAGCACCAAGCACCTGATGGGGGCTGGCTTGGAGAATCTCAATGAGGCCATGCTGGACAGCTTGTCCTTGGTAATGCTGGGGCTGAAGGGCTGGAGTCCAGATGCCAGTTGCTGGTGTGAGGATGGCCTCTTTCACTTCTGCTACAACACCTTGTTCAAAGCCGGCTACCTAAGCTTGTTTGGCTACACAAAGGACAAGGCGCAGGACCTGCTCCAGGCAGAGGAGCTATTTGTGGAGTTTCGCAAGTTCGACCTCCTGTTCCCTAGGTTTGTCTATTCCATGCTGGGGTTGCGGGAGTGGCTAGAAGTGGGCCGGCTCCAGCGTCTCTTCCACGAGGTGCTCTCTGTGAAACACACCCTGAAGAAGGATGGCATAAGCAACTGGTTATCCTACATGCTTCAGTTTCTAAGGGAGCAGGAAATAGCCCCGGCCATGCAGGACAAGTTCAACTTCATGATGCTCTGGGTCTCCCAGAGGAACACAGGGTCTACCTCCTTCTGGGCCCTCTTGTTCCTCCTGAAGCACCCAGAAGCCATGCAGGCTGTGAAGGAGGAAGCCACCAAGGTCCTGGGTGAAGCCAGGCTGGAGGTCAAGTAGTCCTTCAGCTGTGACCCCAGTGCCCTGAAATGCACCCCAGTGCTGGACAGCGTGATGGAGGAGTCACTGCGCCTGAGGGCTTCACCCATCCTCCTCAGGGTGGTACAAGGTGACCAGAGCCTGAAGATGGCCAATGGGCGGGAGTACCTGCTCCGTCATGGAGACAAAGTGGCCCTCTTCCCCTATCTCTCAGTGCAAATGGACCCTGACATCCACCCTGAGCCCACTGCCTTCAAGTACAATGGCTTCCTCAACCCCAATGGCAGTCGAAAAATGGATTTCTACAAGGGAGACGAGAAGATTCACTACTACAACATGCCTTGGGGCTCAGGCGTCTCCATCTGCCCTGGGAGGTTCTTCGCCCTCAGTGAAATGAAGCTCTTCATCCTGTTCATGGTCTCATACTTTGACCTGGAGCTAGTCGACCCTGACACACCTGTGCCACCTGTGGACCCCCAGAGCTGGGGTTTTGGCATCACACAACCCAGCCATGATGTACGTTTCCGCTGCTGCCTGCGGCCTGCTGAGTGAGCTTGGCCAAGCCTGCCACAAGCCTGGCAACAGAGGCTCGTGATGTTTCCCACCTTCTCCAGCTCTCCCCTCTGCAGCCCCAGGCCTCACTGAGCACACCTCTCTCTGGTTCTGTGGTACCCCTACTTCTGGTTGTCCTCCTCTCTCTCTAGCCTCCTTCTAGCCATCTCACATGCTTATCATTCTCCCTTTAAGACACTTCTCTCACAGTGGGATCTGCAGAGTCTTCCTTTCACAGTGGGAGGGGGAATATTTGTGGGCAAATCCATCTGGAAGATGATGTCTGCCTTGAGAAGTTCTGTGGTACAGAAAGCAGTTGAGAGTAACAGCATTTCTCAAACATTAGCTTCCACCACCCTCCACTCTGCTTGTTTTTTTCCCACAAACTTATTCCATGTCCTGTGGAATTCATGTTCTAGAAGAGTGTTGTCCAACAGAAATATAAGGCAAGTCATATGTGCAATTTTAAATTTCCTAGTAGACACATTAAAGAAAGTAAAAAGAAACAGGTGAAATTCAATTTTATAATATATTTTATTTAACCCATTATATCCCAAATATTAGCATTTCAACATGTAATCAACATAAAAAATATTAATGACATATTTTTACCTTCCTTTTTTCGTGCTGTCTTCAAAATCTGGTGTGTACTTGCAGCACTTCTCAATTCAGACTAACCGCATTCCAAGGGTTCACTAGCCACATGTGGCAAGTGGCTACCATGTTGGAAAGCAGGTCTAGAGAAACCCTGCCTTTGATGTGGGAGGTATTCAAGGTCCCTCCTCAGTACTCTCATCTCCTCTCTGCACCTCCACTTCAGGGTGGTCTCAACCCCTTGATTGATTTCATCAACTATTGCTAAGCTCAGAGGTCTCTCTTAGTCCCAGACCCCCAATCTCCCCATAGCACATCTGACTCAGTCTGGCCCACAGAGAACTCAGCATCTGTCCCCTAAACTCTGCCCTGACCACTCCACTTCTGATTTCCCTTCCTCTCTCTGCTCAGGACACTACCAGCCACCCTATCCCCCAAGATAGATACCTAAGAGACACCCTTACCTCCCTCTCTTTTACCCATATACAGTCAGACCCCTAGTCCTGTCTGTGATGCCTCTGAAATGTGTCCTCACTCCCCATGCCCACTGTCATTCTGATAGCTCCGCATTTCTGTCCACACCAGCTCCTGACAGGCCCTCTGCCCCACCTCCAACCCACTGTTTTTTCCAAAAGTGCCTCTGATTGTCACTCTTCTACTTTCCTGGCTCCCCATTGCCTCCACTCACCTGATATTTAAGTTTCACCATCGTTTATCCACAAATTTCTCATTCCAGTGCAATTCAACTTGGCTGACTTTTCCAGTGGAACCATCCCTATAGTTGGAGCATTGCTTTTACTGGCAACCTCCCTGTGCCAGCTACTTCTGGTAGCCTTCTTGGATCTCCCTCATCTCATCCTCTGGCCAGAAATAGCCTCTATGCTCTGGGCTTCTCCAGTGCTGTTTGTATCACAGCACGTCTGTTATGTGTTACTGCTTTGTGTGTCCTGGTTCCCTGCCCTAGGGCCGCAGACTGGAGCCCACTAGGGTTTGGTGTCTTAGTCATTCATCTCTGACCCTCAAGAACCTAACTGTAGATTAAAGTACAGAAATCTGACTTCCAGTCTCCATTAATTTACTTCATGTCCTCAAATCATGTCCTGCCCTTCTTCGGCCTCAGCTTGCTGGCATGTAAAATGGAGACAACCTCCACTGCCAGGCATCATTCCCAGGGCCAGGAGGGGGAGGATGCTGCAGCCAGAGCTACACTGGGCTGATAGCAGGGCCCTGGCTGCACTGGGACAGGAGGGGAATGACTGTGGGAGATGGTGGAGTGTCCTGGAGGAGGAAGGAGGCCCAGGCAGCATGGACCCCCCAGCAGGGACCGCCCAGGGGGGCTTCACTCTGCTACTCCTACCCCACATCTCTAACTGGCCCCTTCCCTTCTCCTGGGGCTACCAGTTTGGCCCTGAATTTTGCCAGGAACATAGGCTAGTAGAGCAGGCAGGAGCCTGAGCTGGGAGCAGGAGTGTGTGCCAACTAGTTCTGTGACTCTGGACCAGGTCTGTCTTTCTCTAGATCTAGCTGCCCCAAAATAATGATGTCTACCCAGAGCCTGATAGAGCTCTGACTGTCCGGGATAAGCCAGGACAACCCATTCTATTCCAGCAGGGGTCAGGAGCACAAGGAGAAGAGTTAGAGTGGAAGTACAAGAGGAGGAGAAGAGCGCTGGGAGGCTGGGAGCCATCCATGGGGAGGTGACCAGTGACCTCCCCACATACAGGTGTGCCCAGTCCAGGTGTGGGGAAAGAGGCAAGGGGAGGGGGCCCACACACACCTCCTTGGCCCTGCCCAGCCTAGGTGCTGCATCCTCTCCTCTCCTGCCCCCTCCAAGGTAATATGGACCGGGAGCCTGGCCTGTCGACAGGCTGGGGCAGGACTGAAGGCCTGAGTCCACTGAGTCAGGACCAAGAGGTCTCAGTCAAGCATGACCACACTCAGATCCAGGAGGAACTTCATGGACCCCGTGGCCTGTTTGAGAGCCCCAGAGGGTATGCCTGGGTCTGAGGGAGGCCACAGTGTGTTAGGTGTAAGGTGAATACAGGTGAAACCATACCACAGTTGGGGGCAAGGATGTCCACCATAACCCCAGAAGCAGAGACACTTCAGCATTAGGAGTGTGCAGGGAGAGGACAATGCCTGTCTGCTGGCAGAGGACAGAGGCCATGACCTCCAGCCCCTCCAGCAGAGGCATCTGCATGGGGACTGCTGGAGACACCCTCTACAAGGACTACTTCCCTTCCTTGGCAGCAACCTGGAGGCAGCAGGAAAGGCTGAGACCCTCAAAGATGCAGCTAGTCACTACTTGCCCTGACCCAGCAGTCTTGCCCCCTAGTCTTCATTTCTGCTCCTGATTTTTTCTTGCTCCCACTGCTTCCCTCCTCATGGCCTCAGAGGAAAGCACACTAAATGCATACTGAGAATAGCTTACAACAGAGCAAGATCAAGGGTGACTCTCCAGTGGTGGAATCTCAGGCATCTGGGAGAGAAGAGAGATCTGTTTCTCATAGGGAGTAACTGCTGGGAACACTCACCTTACTCTTCACAGGGCTGAGGGCTGGCAGCAGCCCTGCTCATAGGCAAGCCATTCCTGTGCTTCTCTCTAGATCAGCCTTGGGGAAGGGTCCACCTGGACTCAGAACCCCAGGGCCAAGAGCATATGGGGTCTTTGCTGAGTCCTTTGGGGCAGGGCTGAGCAGTGCAGGCATGGAGCCAGGCTCAGTCATGTCTTTGGGCAAGGAGAGAGCAGCAGGAGGGACCAGGGTCTGGCCAAGAAGGAAGGTCGAGTAGAGCAAGCTCTGTCTTGGCCTGGAAGGTGAGAGCCACCCCCAACTCACACCCTAACCAGTGCCCAACTTGCCTTCTTGCAAACAGCACTGGGGTCAAAGCCTCCCTATGGTCAGCAGCAGTATATGGCACCTTGGACAGTGAGATGGTACAATGGGCCACCTGCAGTCAGCCCTCCCCCTCCCCTTTAGGCATAGGCTTCAGAGCACTGATTATCGTATAGATTATCTGCAGCAAGAACACACCAGTACATACACAACTGAACAGACAGGAACAAAAAACAAAACCCACAGGCACATACCCAGCCCCACATGGACACAGTGACACATTCCTATTAGATCCACATACGTAGCCATATGTACTATGCACTATCCACAGCAACACAGACCATGCATACACATGTGCGCACACACACACACACACACACACACACACACACACACACACATTAATCTGCCAAAAGCTGGGGACAAACCCTGCCGGTCTTACTTGGCATACATTGCCCCATCCCATCTGTTTATAATGGGCATAAAGGCAGGGACTCTGGGTACCTACAGCCTGCTGGGACAACCTGGCACATAGGCAGGACTGAAACAAGTCTAGCAGGACAGACGGGGCAAGACATGGCAGGTTGTAAGGTTGGGGAAAGCAGTGAGGGCTTCAGAAGCTCCAGAAAGAGACGTCACTGTGGGCCAGCAGCTCCCTGGAGAAAGGTTTCAGTTCAGTGGGCAGGGAGAACCTCGACCTTGGAGACGTGAAGAAGAAAGTACCCAGGCAGAAATCCTAAGGTTGCAAGTCACAAAAAACACAATCCTCAAATTGGAAAGGAATTTATTGGTTCATTTAAGTGACAAGTCCAGAACTGAGATGAGCTTCAGCTGTGCCTTGATTCTGGTCTCAAACACTGCTGAGGGTCGGCTCACTCACTTGTGCTTCCCTCTCCACCTTCTGAAGTTCCAGATGATGGAGGGAACAGCTCCAGACCTCACATCCTCTCAGCTTCAGATGCCCCCAACCAAGCCCCATTGCATTTCATTGGCCCTTCCAGGGCCACGTGCCCACCCCTAAACAAATCACTGTGGCCAGGGAAACTCGAGGCTGTAACTGGCCTAAGCCCCACACTCTGCCCGGCCCCCACCCAAAGTACAGGGCGGAGTGACCAAGAAGTGGTTTCCCAGAGTAAACGGGATTCAGTTACAAGACAAGGGCAAGTGGATGCTTGGCAGGAAAATGATCCTGTTATGGATTTGATTGTGCCTCCCTCTAAAAAAAAATATGTGTTGGAATCCTAACTCCTATAGCTGTGCGAGTAGGGTGGGTTCTAAACCTAAACACTTCTAAGTTATAAAATAAGCAGATCAGACACAGAGACATGCATACACAGAGAAAAACAGACCCCATGTGAGGATCCTGTGCAAGCCAAGGAACCAAGGAATGCCCAGAACTACTGGCAAGGAAAGAATCAACATGACTGAGACCCTGATTAGGACTTTTAGCCTCCAGAATTGTGAGAAAATATATTTCTGCTCTTTAAAGGCACTCTATTGTGGTATCTCTGTTACAGCAGCCACAGGTAACTAAGACAGATCCCTATTACATGAGGCAGCTGGCAGAGCAAA